GTTGGAGTGCCGAAAGCAAGGATTCCGTCGTAGAAATCGTAACAGGTTGGTATCTGTGGTATAATTTGAGACTGCGCGATGACGTAAGGTATATCATCTTTTATGGCAAACATAACTAAGCCATTTGATGGAGAGAACGCGATGTATCGCTCGGGAAGTGCACGGTTACATGCAGCGGATAGTGGTAAATACTTCGATTTTAAGTCAAACAGCTCTCTTTTCAATTTTATTGTTCCTGATTTTGTAAAAATGTAGTCTTCGTTACAGATATAGATACTGAGTGACGAGTCTTGACCATAAACTGTAATTTCGTTGTCATTTGTTAAAGAAGGAAGCAGTTTATGGAAAGATGATTGGGATGATTCATCGATTACAAGATTTCGGCCAGATTTGGTCGCTATGTTAAACGTAAGTATTTTTCCTTCAAGCATAATTAATAAAATATTACTAATATGGGGATGATGTTGAATTTCTACGATTTTTTCTGATTTATCTAAAGTATGGGATTGAGATTGAGATGTTGGAGCCTGCTTGGCATTCTTTGACGTGATAATTGTAAAGGATGGACCATTAGAATATAGAATTGCAGTGAATATATCTGAACTATTAACAGCCATCCTTGTATATGTACCAGGAACATCTATCTTCCAAAGTATTCGTGAGTTTTTCGCTTGATCTTCAGCTTCATACGGCCAAAAATCGATACTATAAATTGTATTTGGTTCTGCAAAGCCTAAAACGATTTTACGGGACCATTGAAGCTCCGATACATACTGAGCTTCAGATACTTGACGAGTGATTCCGAGTGTAAGACCTGATTCACAATCCCATAACAAAACTCTTCCGCAATCGTCTGAAATTGCAAGATAAGGTAGCTCATAGTGGAATTTAAGGCAAGTTATGTTAGAATTTAGAATTTCAATGGATCATAAGAAAGAAATATCATTTTTAGTAGTTTTATAGAGATAAATTGTGCCTTTACCGGCTAATGCAAGTAGCCCACATGCTTCCCAGTCCATGCTCCCTGTGTTGAACACTTTACTAGGTGGACAAAGTGAAGCAAATCGTATCTTAGCTTTATTAAAAGGATTCGCTTGCATTTTTTTATAAATTGATATCGTCAAAAATTTTAATTCTACAATGTTTTAAATATATTAATATTTAGTTGTACAGAATCAAATCACATCTACTTGAAAAAAAAAAGGTAGTGGGGCTTCCAGGCGCGTTGCGCCCTCTAGCCCCGAAGATGTTTAGTATAAAACCGCTTTTTAACTTCACTTAAAATGCCACGTAAGCTACGTAAGAATATACGTAAGAGGAAGGGAGCATTGAAACATCCAATAGTAAAACTGACACCACAACAACAGTTGCAACAACAAATGCTGAATGACCCCACTATGTTGCAACAAATGTCAAGCAACCCTATGCTTTTAAACCGAGTTATTGGTGCACAGAGTGGAGGTTTAAGAGCGGCACTTTTAGCGAAAATGGCAGGCTATGGTGGAGCTGCAGACGGAACAGCTTATAACCCTCAAAGTCAAATGAATTTGAGTTCACTCAAAAATCAAATAACAGATGTCAAAAAGTCAAACATAGACATACAGAAACAAATAAGTGAAAACGAAAAGAAACTAGAATATGACAGACACACAAAGAAACTCAATGAGTTAAACGTAGAGAAAAAGAAGAAAGAAGAACAACTGAAAGAACTAAGTACAGAGGAATATGCGAAAAAAGTGTCAGAAAAAGCAGCAGAAGTAGCAAAAATGGAACAAGATGTTATAAATTTGAAAAACCATACTACTCAATATAAAGTACTGAAAGATGAAGAAATAAAACAAAAAGCCCTGAAGACATATATGGATAGCGATGAGTATAAAAAAGAAGTTGAAGCAAATGTAAAGGCAGAAAAACTTTTACAGTTGCAAAACCAAACCGTACAGTATGAAAACTTAGCACAAGAAAGTAAAAATAACGACGCAGCCATGCAAAAGGCAATGAAAAGCGCAGAATATATAAAAGCTAATAATGACTGGTTAGACGCCCAAGCCAACGCTAAAGCAGCCCAACTTATAGGGTCAATAAGGACAAAAATACAAGCGGATGAAGACAGTTCAAATGAAGCTTTAACGAATGCTGACTTTAAGAACGCCTTCGAAGCTCTTCATAGTAAGGTGAAACTAGTGAACGACTTCTCATCTGGAAAGAAACTGAAGTCTGAAGGTTTCGACAAAGAGTTAAAAGAAGTAGCACAAAATATGACGAAAATAACAGATGCAGCAACGAGACAGGCAGTTCAAAGTGCCCATGACGCCGTTAGAACAGCTGTTGTGGAAAGTCAAGAAAAAGAGTTACAACAGACCAAAAGAGACCTAGTAAATGCTTTCTTAAGAACGAAAAGTCAGGTAGGACATTATGCTGCAGATGGAACATATGTGCCAGCTGGTGGAACTTATATACCAGCTGGTGGAACTTATATACTAGCTAGTGGAACTTATATACCACCAAACCCTCCAAGAGAAGCACCTGCACCAGGACTACCTAAAACATTTACATCGTCACATGGACACAGACACAGGCATGCACCAAAACCAACACAACAACCAACAGTTCAAAATCCAGCACCACAACAACAACAACAACCAGCACAACAACCACCTCCACAACCAGCACAGCAACCAACAGTTCAAAACCCTGCACAACAACCACCTCCACAACCAGCACAGCAACCAACAGTTCAAAACCCTGCACAACAACCACCTCCACAACCAGCACAACAACCACAAACAGAGCAAGGACATAAAAGAAGTAGAGAACAAGGAAACCAAGATTTCTTAAAAATGCTTAAGGAAGAATATGGTTACCCAGATACTCTTGACTTTAGTGACAGATATAAAGAAGCTATTAGAAAGTTCAAGGAAGGAAATACAGACCCGAACCTATTTAGCTTTATGGTTCAGCACCAAATGGGATATAATTTCAAACCTGGAAAATACAAGCTCGCTAAGGGATATGATTTAATAGCATATCATCCAAATGACATGAACGAATTTACTCCGAGATATTTGGTGTCAGAGCTAAATGACAATTCAACTCTCTTCATGAAACGCGTAAAAAATAGAGACGGAACGAAAGAAGAAAGGTTTATGAGTCCGGATGACTTAGATAGGGAACTTTTTAAAAACGGTCTCGGAATATATGAAATGCCAGCAGATGAGGTACAAGAAACTCAACAGGAAGAAGTTCAGATACAACCAGACATGGAAGAAATAGTTCAGCAACAACAGCTAGAAGAGCCTGAAGGAAACGAACAAGTCCCTCCTTTGGAAACTAACCTCACAGAACTAGATGAAGATTTGGAACAGCCGAAAAATCTTGACCCTCAACAAGAGTATGAGGTGAATATGGAATCTTTCCAAGAGTCTAAAAAAAATTCGGCTGACATAGTAGAAGAATATCGAAAAATGTTTGCCGACATACAAAAGACTCCAACATCAGATGAAAATATTCAGCATAGAATGGAAGTACTGAAAGATAATGTACGCAAATACAACAATCCTTTTTACTTACGACCATATAACGTTCAATCTTTGGCTGAACTCGGTGAAAATAAAAGGTTAAATTTCAACAAAACATATAGAAATGAAACATTGTTTAAAGTTCATTCAGAACCTAACCAATATGGAAACAAACCTACTTTTGTTTCTGCAGACTATGGAACTACAATGAGATGGGGTCATAAAGCTAATCCGGATAGGTGGTTCATAAACTTACAACCACAATTCCAAGAAGTTGTAGACGCAATGGAAGTGAATGGTGAACCAGATATAGCTGGTATTTTCAGCGCGGCTTTAATGCCATTGAAAGATATGAAAGATGCAGATATTTTGAACCAGTATGAAATGAACATGGCTGATGGAAATATAACACCTGACGTTCTAAAACATTTATCTCAAAGAACTACACAGAACCATAGAGATGGTATATTTGGTGAAGAGTTTAGAAAGACAGTTAGGGAGAGAGAAGGAAGAGAACCTATTGTACATGACCTTGCAAACGAAAGTTTACAAAATGTCATAAAAACTTACTTTGCAGACAATGAACCGAGAAGGGATGAATATTTAAGAAAACTCAAATGGACAGTACCAAATGAAATGTTAGTATTGAAAAACATGTTCCTTGACAAAATAAAACCAACTACAGAAATAAATGACGAAAGACTGAAACATTGGGTAAAAGCTTTCCCATTCACAAAAGATATTATTGGTAACATGGAAAGAAAACCAGAATGGCTACAAAAACATATATTTGGAAACGAGCTTATTCCATATGGACAAGCTCTGTTTGAAGAGCTTGAACCGGAAACTCAGGAAAGAGTCATGCAAACAATACGCGAAGACTCAAATACAAACTATGACAAAATCTTTCTAGGATATAGGTTACCTGAGATGGGCGACCAGAGCCCAAAGGCAAAAAGGACATGGGAAATTTACAACATACTAGGTGAACATGAGGCAAAGATGCAACAACTTGAAGCAGAGGGCAAGTTACCAAAAGCGACACCAAAGAAGAAGAGAAGAGTAGAACAAAGTGAAAGTAGTGAAGAAGTAACTTCATCTAGTGAAAGTAGTGGCAATGAAGGAAAAAGAAGAGTTAAAAACTCAGTCAGGAAGAAAGTAAAGCTTGGTCCGAGTGGGTTCTATTATGACATATAAATCCAACTATTCTATATTTTTACCCATATGAAATGTACGCCGCTCAGAATATAACGCCAACAGTTTTGGATGCCATGAATGGAAATGTTTCCGAATGGTATAACGAATGCGACAATGCCATTAGAAGGTCAGAAATAGTTCCTGGAACTTACGAATATACAACTGCTGTTTCTTATGGAAACGTAGGTGAGTTTGGAGAAGGTTCTTCAACAACAGTAGATATTGCTTGCGACAGGTTTCATATTATTTCTATTGACAACTCTTTCTTATACGTGGAACAAGACATTGAAATAAAACCTTCTGCCAAGTTGTCTGAAAAGAAAGGTTGCAATGGAATTTTCTATGTCGGATACCAATATGCTCCAGAAGTTTTCATGGGATATAAGATATATTCTAACTCTGACTTAGTTCAAACAGTAACATGGGCAAACTATGAATGGTTCGCTTTAAGAAACTCAGTACAACCACAAGCTAGAGAACAAACAGACCAGTATGCAACTATTGAGAAAATAAGAAGACTTGACCCTAACGTTCCAGGAGTTTATGTTAACCTTTCTGGTTCAGATGGAACTGCTGCCACTAAAGTAAAACTGAAACTTAGAGTTCCTTTGTCATCTTTCCTCATCTTCAGGTTTTTAAGATACTTGCCAAACTGGGCAGGAAAAATTTCTATCGAACTTACTCCAAGCAAAAATAACTTAGTCATTGCACCAACACAAGACCCATTCACTCTTACAGACGTAAAGGGAACAAATAAAACGTCATTCGCCGAATTTTGCAAAGACAAAGTTGACTTAGACTTTGGTTTCTCAAACCTCAACACTGAAGTAAACTATTATTTCAATGCTGCTGGAGATGCTTGGGACCCAGTTAAGTTCACATGCGAAAAATTTGAATGCAAGAGAATAGAAAGCAGACTTGCAGTCTATATGTTGGACCCAGATATTTCAAATGCTTTAGCTGCCAAATATATTGCAGTTCCACTTATGTTCCCTATACACCAAATATCTGTCAAAGACTTTGCAGGTGAAGTTGGAAACCAAAGTGCTGACCCAGGTGCAAGAACAGATATTGCCTTAACAACTGCAATGAAACATGCAGATACTATGTTTGTTCTTTTCAGACGAACTATAAATGACTATTCTTGTTTCTACAACCCTGGTATTAAATATCATATAAACATAGATGGCAAATATTATCCAAGAGAAGAATATTCTACAGTTGAGGATATGAGGTCATACAACTTGACATTAGATGCTATGAACTTTAACAACAACTTCACAACAACCATTAACCCTGAAATGCAAAGTTCTATTATGCCATATGTGAAAGTATGGACCCATACAGGAGGTCAAAAAACTCAATATACAAATGGAGACCGTTCAAACTTTTGGCTTGGCATTCCATTTGCTGACTCAGAAGACTTTATGGGTGGTATTTCAACTGTTGGTACAGTTCAAATACAATATACTGGTGACAGAGACGGTCCAGATGAATTGAAAGCAAAGAAGTTTACAAAACCAATAGCACTTTTCACGGAAGATGCTCTTTTGAAAATTCGTTCGATGAAACCTGCTGGGGCTCCTCAGATTGGCATAACGACAGCTTCCATCGAGCAGATTTTGGCAGCAGGTCAGTAAGTTGTTCTTGAACTGACTTCTCTCCGTCAAATATTGACAGTACGCCAGTTTTGACATAATATTGTATTATAAACTTTCCTTTAGAAATATCTGTAAGTTTTGAAGTTATATTTTTGTCTGCTTCAAGAACTTTCACCATTTCAGTTATACCAACTTTCTTTGCTTTATGAAAATATTTAGGTTCAGCAAAGACTGCTATTCTATAACATTTTCCATTGTTTGTGTAAAGAACTATTCTGTCAATGTATTTGTATTGTTTGTGTGTGTAAACTTTGTTTTGCTTCAATTCGAAGAGATATCTGAATACGTCCATCTTTTTATTCTAAGTAAAATGTCATTTCCGAAAAATAGAAGTGTAAGTGTTTCAAAAGGTTTAATGGCGGTGGCAGATGTGAAGTTAAATTCACCAACTCAAACAAACAGTCAAAGTGTTGTTGTCAATGTCAAAGACAGAGATGTTGAAGTGGGGAAACCATACGAAGACGAAGATGGTATAACAATAGTTCCTGTAAAAGAACAACCAACATATCCTGAAGTTAGCAGAGACTTAAGTTCT